GGCCGGAGCAGGCGGCTTCCTGTTGAGCAGTTCTTGAATCTCTCCCTTGAAGCCCCTTATGAAGGTCATGAGTTCGTTTCTTGTAATGGGAGCAGACCCATCAGCCGCCTGCTGCTGAGCAGGCGGTGCGCCGACTGAATCACTGAGTCCGGTTTGAAGATGTTCCCGTTCCCTCCTTTCGGTATGACGGGTACGTCGGGCCCTTAGGGTCCCGTCTGAAGCTGTGTGAGCTTCAACTTCAAATTCTTCCTCAGCATGGTCCGACTGAACTTGAGGGTCGTCTAGGGGACGCCTCTCTTCAGGAGTCGGTACAGATGTGGATGCCATCTCAGAAGTACTCTCCCCACAGACGGCGCCAAAATGTTTCGGGGTTTTCTGATGTCCTGCGGGAGAGTTACAATTCCGAGACTGGAACCGGACGTCTGTACCTGCAAAACAAACGGATGCTCCGGATGATTGGAGATCCGCCTCCGACGGTCAAGTTAGTACTTGATTAAGGAGTAATTAATGCGGAAATTAAAGTAATTGGGTCTCTCTAGGTGAGAGTATTAAATGTGTGTAATCCCCCTTAATGAGGATTAAGGGAGGTATTTATAACCTTGGGAAACGTGCCAATCCTAGGTTTATGTTAACCTAGGGCTGATTGGGCTTCCCTTGGAAGTTGGGCCTAGGTGGCCGGTTTTTCCATTAGGCATGGAGGATGCCACGTCTCATGACATAATAGGTCCAAGGTGGACGAATAGGCGTGTGCCACGTGGCAAACCCTGACAATTCCAACTGGTGGACACTTGGCAGGATCTGATTGGCCCACGTGGCGCATTCCGATTGGTGGGAGAAAAATCCCCTAATCAGTGGGGACAACTACACACCAACACGCATGAAGAAGAAGAGAAGTCTTGACAGATAGGGAATAATACTACCAAATTTCCTAGAAGTTGACAGGGAGCTCATTGCAAATGTGGTGAATTATCTAAACACAATATCAGTCCCAACAACAGGTCAAGAAGAAGCACAAATGGAAGTGATGCAGATTGACTTCAACAAAGATGCAAGGGAGCTTTTAGGGAACTCATTGACTGCCACCTAAACTTGTAAAATCTAAACTTGTTTTTTGCTATGTTTATGTACTAGTTAAATATATTTTGGTACATACTTAGGACACATTCTTAGGAGTCATGTATGCAAGTAAAGTAGTGTTTTGTAAAAATCACACACTTTTGATATTAATGTAAAAACCAACACTTTTGTACACAATATCCATCAGATAGGGTGTTTTTTTTCATTCAAAGCATCAATGAGTAATGGTACCTCAACAGAGAGGTAACCAGAGCATCCAAACTACTCAAATAGCTATCAGTTGAGTCCCTTCATCATTTGGATGTCACACAATTTGATGCAATTAGGGGCAAGGGGCTCAATGCATCTACAACAGATCAAGCATATGGGACTCAAGGCTTCAAAAAAAAAGAATAACCATAGGGGCCTCAAAGGTTCCTGATCAACACCAACATCATAGTCAAGTTCACTCAAATCACCACAACAAGAAGCCAAATACAGGGAGCTCAGTGCATACTCAGTTAACCATTGGGGAGTCAAGTAAGGCAGACTATCCAATAACAACAACAACAGGTAACCAAAAGCCCAAATCATATTACCATAATCATATAACTAGAATCAGTGCATAATCAGTGCATAATCACTCTAATCACCACAATTACAAGCCCAAAATAGGTAACCATAATCAATTAACCATAATCAGTGCATAATCACTCAATTCACCACAACTAAAAGCCAAAAACAGATAACCAAAGGGGACTCAAGTAAGGCAGAATTTCCCAGAACAACAACACATAACATCAACCATCAACAACAAAATCATTGAAAAATCAACAAAGATTAGGGTTCAGAAATTACGCTGCAAAATTAGTTAGGAGGGATGTAGTATTGTGGGTAGTAAATCTGCAAGTATGCCATATAAACATCACCAGGCTCCATACTAATAGGATGCCCAGATCTGATGCGTTTTGCACAAGAGGATGGCCCAACAGTACTCCCGCCTTCGACCTCAGGGGACTCAAAAGGCTGCACAACCTCTCCAGCCACCAAATCTACTAGGGTTGTCTCCCTAGTTTCAGATCCGACATCACCCACCTAAACAACACCTTCAGGGGCCCCCACAACAGCCAATTCTCCTCCTTCACAACAATTTCGACTAGATCTAAGGCTGTAGGTGGTTTATCTTCAACCTTAGGGTCGCAAACCTCCTTTGGTTTCTCCTTGTCATCACTTAGTTTCGCACCTCAGATCTTCCTCCTTGCAATGAGTGAAGCGCGGCGCACTGGTTTTATGCACCCAATTCCTCACTGAGGAATGTATCTAGTGGCTTGAGAGCAATTCTTAGCCTTAGACCTACCGGATTCGAGTGACTCATAGCAGAAAAGGTCAAGAGTGTCGTCGTTTGGAGTGGTCATATTGAAGAATAGAGAGAAACAAGGACTGAAATGGAGGAGAGAGTGTGGAGGAAACCCAGAAAGTGAAGAGAGAGAGAGAGGGGGTGAGATCGGCTGAGAAGAAAGAGGGGGAAAGAAAAATTCTAGGGTTTGCGGTTTTATTCTGGAGAATTCTCCAAAAAAATTAAGAACCCAACTATCTTCATTGATGAATTGAATGCGGAAGCATTCAATGGTGGTGGTTGGGAAGATGTAGAATTTAAATGGGTGGGGGTAATTTTGGTGGGAAGTGTTAGGTTAATTAATCTAATAATGTGATATGATTATTAGTATAAGTAAGTTGGGAAAAAAAAAGTAAGGGTATTTTGGTCAAATTCCACCCAAAACTTACTAAATAAGGAAAGAGAAAAAAATGTTGCAAGTAATGTGAACCATCTGTTTTAGGAAATTGTTGCAAGTAACAAGAACTGGAGGTAGCATTAATATTCTTATATAAATTTAGGAAATTTTAGAAAATAACACCACAAAAAGTCACGATTTTGGTTATAAAAAAAATGATTATAACACCACAAAAAAAAACCCAAAAAATTGATTTTACCACCACCTAGTGGATGTCGTCCAAAAAACCGTTTGAAGACCCCACCAAGTACACGTGTCACTTGTATATTGGTTTAAAAAAATAAAATAAAGGAAAAAAAAAACCTTAAACCCTAAGCCAGCCACCAAGCCCACCACCGCAGCCCCTACATCACACCGTCGGAAGCTCCACTACCAGAACCTCCCCTTTACAGCCGAAACCACCGACACCCCCTCCCTTTTATGTCCAGTTGCCCACCGTCGAAAGTACCCACACCCTGAAACACCAAGCCCCGATTTGGTTTGGGTTTCGGATTTCGGATTCTAAGTACGAGTTAGGGTTCAGGTGAGCGTGAGAGGGGTTTTTGGGGTCTAGGTGAGAGCTGGGATGGGATCTGAGCGGTCGCAGGCGAGGGTTGGGATTTGCCGGCGGTCGCCAGATGTTTGCGGGTGTGGATTTGCGGTTACATGGGCGAGGGTGGAGATTAGGGTCCGGCGATAGGCGAAGGGGGATGGGGAAAAGGTGCCAGTGGTAGGATGGAGAAGGGGAACGGGCCGCCGACGGTGGGATTGGGAGAGAGCTGCTGGCTGTGGAGGTTGCCAGTGGTGGCTGGGTTTGGGTTTAGGGAATTTTATTTTTTTTTTTTGTGAACCAATGCTACACTGACACGTGTACGTGGTGGGTCCCACTTACAAATTCCATCCAAGAATCCGTTAAGTGGTGGTGAAATCAATTTTTGGAGTTTTTTTTTTTTGTGGTGTTATAATAAAAGTTTTTTATTGGTGGTGTTATTTTCTAAAATTTCCATAAATCTATGATTTTTTAAAACTTTGTTAAGTTAGATAAGGAGAAGGAGGCCTACCGGGTTGAAACCTTTCACAAATCCACTCTACCCGGATATGCGAATTAGCCCCTTGATTTTATATTTCCTTAAACAAAGGTAAATAAGAAGACCTCCATAAAACCATGGTGTAAAGATAACCTTTAAAAGAGTAGAAAAGCCATCACAACCATGACCACTCCAAACGACGACACTCCTGGCCTTTAAAAGAGTAGAAAAGCCATCATTTGCGGGCTTGGGCGGGTAGCAGGTAGCGGGCCGGGCTTATGCTTATTTTTTTGTCCAACGGGCTTTTTGTAGCAAACCCGAACCCTTTTATGCGGGCTTGATACTTTGTCCATGCCCGCTTATTAAACGGGTCGGGTTTGCCCACGGGCTAACCGGCCTTAAAATTTTTGTTTTATTTTTTATAACACTAATTAATCTTTTTATTATTTACCTGTGCTAAAATTATTTTGGTAGAGTTGTCTTAAAATTTTTTGTTCACAAATGATAATAGAATTAAAAAAAAAAGGTTGAAATTATGACATATGTTATAAATATATGAAAGAAAAAACTTATTTAATAATTGTTAATGATAATATATAAAATTAAAATAAATAATTGTAACTAACAAAAGTTTATAGTCTCTTTGTATTTATTTTCTAAAATACACGAAGTATGTCATAATTAACTAACTAAATAAAATTATTAAAATATTATTATAATTATAAACGGGCCGGACGGACTAGCCCACGATACATATTTTCTTGTCCATACCCGTCCATTAATATTAACGGGTCAGGCCTAACCCCTTCCCAAATATCCAATTTTTTTCTAAAAGGTTGTCCAAGCCTGTCCTTTTTGCAGGCCGGGTTCGCCCATGAACAGCTCTACACTCAACCTATCGTGGCATCTCTGTACTGGATAACTCCTCCGTCAAATCAATCCCCCTTACACAACAGTCCGTTACGCTAACCTTAGCGCACCAAACGTGCAACTCTTGATTCCAACAAATATATACCCCACTGTCCCACGATATAAAAATTAAAAATTTAATCACAACATAAATTAAAAATTTAATTAATTAAAAAAAATTAAAAAAATCCCGTTAAAAAAAAAAGAAATGAAATTCTCTTGCCAAAAAAAAAAAAACAGTTTCCATTTTATACAGCTCTTGTTCTCTCTCTCTCTCTATCTGCGTCTTTCTCTCTCATCAAAGCCCTAGATTCTCTCTCCATTTCTCTCTCCTCTTTTCTTCCACTCTCACAGCTGTTGTTACTACTTCACTCACAAGACAAAAAATATGGTATAATTTTCTTCCTTTTTTCTGATTTATGATTATTTTTGAAATCTAGGGTTTGTTATTTTCATTTTGATTTTTGGAATTATGCTTTTTATTTCATCTTTCGTTGTTCGATCTGGAATTTGCTGACAGATTTGTTTTGAATTATTGGATTTATTTTTCTGGATGTTAGCGTTTTTGTTACGCGGATTTTTATGAGTAATTATGATAATTTTCTGATCTGATAGTTTTTTTATTTTTTGAATTTGGAAATTGATAGCTTCTTATGAACTGGGGAATCAAGGGAATGTGTTTATTTTTGTGTTATGTTTATTACAATTTTTTATGTAATATTTTTGGTGTATGATGTTTTGGATTGAGTACAACATAACCTAGGATCTGTAATTTAGTTGAGTAAATCGTGTTGATTGGAAATGGGTAGCTTGAGCAGCTAAATTTCGGAGGATTGTCTTAAATATGCTTGACTAAATGAATTTATTGATTGGATGTGGTGGAATTCAACAAACTTAATGAGTTTCGCGATAATAAGCGTGTAGATTAATGGGTTTTAGCTAGATGTGATGATTTTGGACTTTTGGTAGGATGTTGTTTGGATGTCTTGAAAATAGCTCACATGAGTATGTGAAATTCATGATGAGAAAATTCGGTACATAGAATTGCCGGATGCTTATTGTATGGATTTCATCATCTTGAGGAACCTATGACTAGAATGTTGTTGATGGTAGAGTGTAACCAAGGAAAGACTATTCAATTTCCCAAAGGTTATCTTGTGTTGTAAAGGTCTTTGTTAAAGGATTGTGCAGTTGTTGGTTTGATATGCTTTGATGGGCTGAAATGGCAGAGGTTGTTTCCCCTGGTGAATGAGTTTGGTTGCTGATGACCTACTGTGTTTTGTGCTGTCTGGGTTTCTGTTGAAATGGTTGATGGGGTTGTTACCTTGTCGCTTTGCTTTAATGGGTTGAGTGTCGTAGTGAGTTGGGGTTACTGAACTACTGATGCCACCTCTTATGGTTTTTGGATTTCTTTTGATTCCTTGCATGTGTAACACTTTGTGTTCTATAGGCGAGGCTCCATATCTGGTGGGTAGTGAATGAGTTTTAACTTTGTGCTGTCTCCCCTTCTAATTTGTTCGTGTTATCAAAATATTCTGAGGAATCAGTTTTGCCATGTTTTGAGTGCTGACAACAGTGAAGAGCTCACTTGCAGAATTTCTGGTGTATTGAAATGTTTTTGGTTTCTCAATGTGAGCAGAGTAAGTTTATATTAATTGTGAATTTAGTTTGAAGATTTCCAGGATTGTATTGGTGACAAATTGAGTGAAAGAATGGGCAGAGAGCTTTAGTTTACTAAAAAGCTATTGGTGCAGTCAAGTAATAACCTAAACCATTACACGATATGTTCGGTGATAGAGGAATTTGTATTATGCTTATGCTTCTCTATGATACGAATATGGACGATTGATATTAATTTCTCCTTTGATCGCCCTTTTTAAGAAAATAAAATTATTCAAAGTTCTTTATAAGCGTTCAAAGTAGTTCTGCATCGAATTTTTCATGTGGATGGAGCCGAGTTCACTTAATTAATGTATTGATTCCTAGCCAGCAGCACTGCTTTCAATTTCTCAGTGTTTTCATCTTGGATACAATGCATTCTTTCTTTGAGCAGCTCCAGTTTATGTCAATTGTAACTTTTCGGGCTATATAACTGCTGTAAATAGATGTCAATATGTTACAAGTCAAGCTTAAAGGAAAATGAGGCTTGTAGAATGACTTTACTATGAAATGTGTGATCTTCCTTCCTGTCATCGAGACTTGGTGCTATTACTCTAACTTGTCCTCATAATTCTTTAACCTTTTTTCTTTTTGTTGACATTTTGGTTTATCTTGTCATATGGTCGTGATGTATAATTGTATATTGATATTATGTATAGGCCAATGCTGCATCAGGAATGGCAGTTGATGACGAGTGCAAGCTCAAATTTTTAGAGCTTAAGTCGAAAAGGACTTACCGCTTCATAATTTTTAAGATTGAAGAAAAGCAAAAGCAGGTAATTGTGGAAAAGGTTGGTGAGCCTAATCAAAGCTACGAAGATTTCACTGCAAGCATTCCTGCTGATGAGTGCAGATACGCAGTCTATGATTTTGATTTTGTGACTGCAGAGAATTGCCAAAAGAGCAGGATCTTTTTCATTGCATGGTAATTTCTCATCAGCCATAATAAAACACTCAGTAAAGTTGTTTTTCTGTGATTGACTGTATTAACCCTCATTATTACTACTTTGCTTGGAAAGGTCCCCTGACAATGCTAAGGTGAGAAGCAAGATGATTTATGCAAGCTCAAAGGACAGGTTCAAGAGAGAGCTAGATGGTATTCAAGTTGAGCTCCAAGCAACTGATCCTTCTGAGATGGATTTGGATGTTATTAAAAGCCGTGCTGCGTAATGCACTCTCCATGTTTCAGCTGCTTTCGTTGAGTGTTATCCATACAGTCCACTTTACCTATGTTTAAATGTTAATACCTTTTAAGGGGCAATAGAACTTGCTTACATATAATATTTGATGGTTGTCGCAGTGTAATACTGATGTCTTTTTTCTTATGCTTCAGTAATTTCGGAAAATACATTGATGATTGTGTTATTTGTGGGATTTCACACTAGTGAGCCTAGCTTCGATATGTATGCTTCGGCTATCTGTTTTGTGTATTCCTTTCTGGGGTGAACTGTGAACATGTCCTCTGATTTGAAATGGAGGACCACTTTTCTGTATCACTAATCCTTGAAATCTTTTGGCTATTGCTGATTTATGGTGCTCTTGGTCTTCTTTGTCTATTGTTTTGTTTCTTATTCGCTGCTCTTAATTTGCGATTTTTGTTGTTTTCTTCATAGTGATCCCTCAAGTTGTAATAGTTTGTTGTGTGGTTGTAAATGGTTACTTGACCTTCCCCGATTACCTTCTGTTAAAGGAGTTTTGTTGGTTGAGTTAGGGCACTCTGACCCTGCTTGGTCAGCCATGGTCCACCTCCTATTGGCCCTATTTACGATGACTTCTAAACTACCTGCCTGACTAGTGGCTGCCTCCCCCCACCCCCTTACCCCACCCCACCCCACCTCCACAAACCACTGGTGGAGCCGTGGAAGGGCTTATCGGTTATCGGCCTTATCGCCCCTCCATTTCTTGTTCTTGGAAAAGGAATTATGATTAGGTTACTAGGCAAAGAAGAGAAATAGGAGTGTAAGAGTATGGATGATTTTTCTTTTCTTTTTATTTTTCTTTTACCTAAATGTTCGTATTTGACTATTTGTAGTGAAATAAAATGTTTTATTTCTATGAATTCGATACGCTGTAGATCCTGGGATAGAGTAAGGTATGATATATTGATGTGTCTAGGCATCTACAGAAAAAAAAGATCAGTAACCATTGAGTTGTTGGAGGGCTTCCGCTACTACTGCTAGTGGTTTTACAATCTTTGATAATTATGCTTTAAAACGATAATACATTTGGCTATGTTTCACTTAATGCCAATAACCTATTATGTTTTTTGTGACTCGATCTACTGAAAAAATGTATGATCCATCCATGCCCCTAATAGAAAGTTTTACTCACACCCCTAAAATTGGTTTATCTGTCTTGATGCTTAATTGAGTTAATTCACATGGGTTATGAAATTTTACTTATTTTAAAATAATAAAAAGGGTATTATACAGAGTATTGTCTATAAATAGAGTTTTGCCTTCACCCTTCAGAGACATTCTAGGTCTAGAAGTATTATCTAATGTCTATAGATAGACATTAGATAATACTTCTATTATCTAATAGACGATATAAGACCTCGACACCTCGTATAACCTAAATAAATAATTTTAAAAAAAAATAAAAAAGAAAAATAATCCTATAAAAACAGAGTAATAGCTTTGCAGGTATTAACTCAATTGAGCAATCCTTTAATTATCATATTTTAAATACTGATAATGCATTCCCTCAATAAAAATTAGAAAAAAAAAAGAAAGAAATGAAAAAAGCTATATTTTATTAATTTTAATTAATCAACACTTAATAGAGTATTGTATAGAAACCAAAAGAAACGAGGAAAAATGAAAAATACAGGAATAATGTATTCAAAACTATGTGATATAATTTTGTGTATAAATGTACTATCTATGATGATGAATCAATTAATTCATATGTAGATCTTTTGAAGGTCCTTGATGCAGTCTGATGATCAACTACCCAGCTTTCTCTTGTAATACTCTTCATAGTTGATACTGGAACCAAGCATAGTCCTTTACTTTGTAGGTCACTTTGCCTCTCTGCATCACCCTGTCACGCGAAAATTTGAAGGATCAGATTCTTTAGTGTTAGAATTACTTATGTCCGGATTTAGTTGTCACTTGTCACATTACTAGTGGAATCACATCATCAACGTGACTGTTAATTAGGAGGGTGCTTAATTCATCAATGAACAATCTAATTCAGAAAATTTGTTTTAGTGCAGGGTGTACCTGAAACTGTGCTTGAAGTGCTGACCTAAGCTCAAAATATGATATGCTTAGCCTCTGAAATAACAAGTTCATAAACTACTTATACATCACTTGTTAAAATCTTAATTTTAAACTATTAGTCTCTTTTCATTTATTTAATTAAAAAATACCCGAATTTCTTGATGAATTATTTTGATATAGATACAAGCCTCTTGAAGAACTGAAGCAGTATCCGTCTGCATTTTTTGGTGGCCATAATTAGTACCAATGCATTTTAATTATGCGACGTAAATATTAATAAATGGTTTTATGTATTGTAGGCCTTATGAAGTGCGGAGTAATTTTGTTTGACTGACCTTTCCGTAAGGAGATACAAGTTCTTGAAGAGCAGAAATTTTTTCGCTTAACTTTTGGCTTCTCTTAACTGGTGCCTGCATCTTTAGTATACATTGATAAACCAAGTTGTGTTATTTCATGAATTGTAAATCACACATATAATGATATGTTACATTTCTTAAAAGCCTCCGGACATCCTTCACCTCACACTCGAGTTTTAGATTCTGTTAGTAGTTTGTCATATACAAATGTAATTTATACTAGTAAACAATAGGAAAAGGAAGGAATTTACATCTATAGTCACCTTGTATTTTCTTGTATCGACAAATTGTTCGATCACCTTTCTTTTCTTATTAGCTCTCAATGCTTCAAGGCTTGCCTTGTTACCGAGAACACTATTTCTTTGTGCAAGTTTAGCCCCGGTAACACTTTTTCTAACATCTTTAATTGTCTGAAATAGAGATATAGACCAAGAAATAAATGTCAACTGTTAATATTCTTAAGCATAGATTTGTATAACATCATAACAAAAGGGTATGAAAAATAAGACAGAAAGTCATACAGGTTTGTAAGGTTGAGCCAAAAGAATGTCATTCTTAATAGAGTCATCACAAGGTAAGTTCCAACGATAATCCAACAAATGAGGAGGAGTTGCAAGGCTGAGATTTTCTATTGGTGTAGGCATCAACGATGAATATGCAACTGAAAATTCGAGTACACAACAATAGAGTGAGTCATAGTTGATATACCTCTTCGAAATAGACCAAACTCCGGGAACTTAAGGATAAAATTGTAATTTCACTAGAAAAAACCCTCCATCCCTTTTCTTAGTGACATAAAAAGTGGGTCGTGGACTCGTGATGCCATACAAATTTTATACATATACACTTCCACGACGAGAAAGAATGTAATTTTTAAAATTAAGACCGGAATTTGCATATTTTATGCCTTCTTCTGGAGATGGCTAATTTTTTTCAGTAAAACCCGAGCACATTGGTAATTGAGCGGTAAAATGTGCTCCTCAAAAACACTTAATCAGTGTCAAAACTTAGGTAAGATTGATGACATTTAAAAATAAAAGATGACTTACCTCACCTTATATTAGTAGAAATTTATGTTTTGTACGTAAAGAATAAACTACATTTGACAAATAATAATTAAGCATACACTAATTACAGAATCTATGCATAATTAGAAATTATAAAAGAAATTACTGAACCTGGTGAAATGTACGAAAATTGCGAGGGAACATCCATGCTTCCATAATTAATTTGCTGCATATAATCATTCTCAATTCCAGTTCCAATATAACCATTGTTATTGCTGCATTAGTATTAAAATATTTGTTAATCAATCCTCTGTATTTTAATTTTTTTTTTTTTTTGGTAATGTCAAATGTGATTCAATATGTAAATGAAGAAACATACATGTTACTGCCCATCATCATAGAGAACTCTGAGTTGGAAGATTGAAATCCATCAATCGATTCGCCTAGGAAAATATATGTTAAAATGTTCATAAAAAACATGATCAAATATACGTAAAAGTTCAAAAAATATAGATGCAATGTACCAAGATTGTGGTTTTGTAAGCACTTCATCTCGTTACACACAAACCTTGAAGCTGATAAGCAACACAAGAAAGTGTGGATGATCATAATTATTAAGCCTGTTTTATGTGAAGTTTAATTAGTGAATAAAAATGCAAGTATATAGGGAGGCATAATTTTGACTCTTGTGTGGCAAAAGGGTATCTTTGAGTAAAGCAACATCTAATTTCCTTACTAAGAGAGTTGTATTATTATAGGTTAATTAATGCGTGAAAACAACTTGAAACGTCTGTTTTTCTAAATTTAGTTTTTCAATTAGAGAGTAGTTGGGGTTGCTCTTGGCTAATTTCATGTTACTTTTACTTGATTAAGGTTTTATTTTTCACATTTTGACTTAAATTTAGAAGATTAAATGTGAATAGTGGTTTATATTATGTAAATTAGTTCATTGTTGAGATATTTATATGAATGATTCCAAGTTTAATCAATGTAATATTTGAAATTAATCCTTGTTTTTGAGTATTTAATGAAAGGGTAACTTTTTTTTTACAATATTTATATTCTCTATTAGCTAATATACACTTATGTAATGACCCCAAAAAGACCCAACAAACACTACTAAAAAAATTTCTTTGAATTAGCTTATGAGGGTCCCCTTTGAGATCATTCTTGAACAATCAAAGCTGGAGAATAATTTTATTAGATGGGTAAGGCTTGGAATTAGTATTCATATATTAATTAAAATTCCTTGATATATATAGTTTAAGATTTATAGTAGTAGTAATTTATTAAGCTGTTTACGTGTTTTTTTTATTGGATTTCAAGTAGCTCACGAGTAGATTCGCTTGACTAATATATTAAAAGGCGTTTCTAAGAACATCTATGTGCCACGTAGACCCCCTCATTTTGCCACGTCACTACTCAACTCCTCAATATTCCACGTCATCCACTCAACTCCTTAATATGCCACGTCATCCACACAACCAACAATACTCCATGTTGTCTCAATTATATTGAAAAAAATATATGGATGAGAAGGTTCGATCACTTGACCTCTTTAAAAAAAAGTAATTGTATAACCATCTAGGCTAATCATTAATTATGCTTTAACATTGCACAATAAATAATATTATACTACAAATTATTGAAGACACATACTATATACAAACTATTAGATGCTTTTATAAATTATTAGTTGCACAACTATAAAAGTAGTAACTCGGGGCAACGCTGGGGCTACTCACTAATGAGTGCTTAAAAAATACCGTACTTGTTCAACTTAAATACATAACAAATGTCATGTAAAAATACAATAGATGCATTATAATGAAATCTAAATAATTGGACCTGATGTTTGCTTTCCCTAGCCTACTAATCAAAACAGGATGCATTACATCTTTTCTTGTAATATGAGTTTGAATCACAAGGTTAATGTCATTAAGCAATGCTCAAGATAAAGAATCATCACCATTTGCTATTAAGCTCACAACAAACAAGAATTAAATAAATCACCTTTTTTTTTTTTTTACAGAAATTATTTGTTTTGATGTTTTTAAAATGGAAAATTACATTCGTTAGGGCAGCGCTTTAATCCCCAATGATTATGGATAGTCACTTTAAATTTAACAGAGAAGTGTAGGTGGATACACACTTGTATATGTTCTATCTTTTTTTTTTTTTTTTATTTATTAATTTTTTTTTATTGTTATTATTAAAGTAAGGAACACTAAAAAAAAGATATTAGGAGACCCTCCTCATGAGTGAAACTTCTAATGCAAACTTTCCTCATGAGTGAAAATCATAATGCATTGAAAACAAAAGTAGGAAACAAACTAGAGTTGTACTCTGTGGCAAAGTTCTATGTTCAAAATATCACTAACTAAATGACCAACAATAGCTATTCACTTATCTTTTCTATTAGCCTCACGATAGATATGTTGAGTACTCTACTTTTCAAAATTATTGGGAAGAGAATGCATGCAATAGTATGGTTAAGAGAGTTAAATACTCTATTTGTAGTCTCGAGTGAGCTAGCCTCCTTTTTAGACCGTTGTAAAAAAAAAAAAAAAAAAAAAAAAATTGCATGCAATATAGTAATATGATCAATCTGCCGTTAATTACCATAATGTCGTCACCATCAATAAAAACATCTTGTTCAATCTTAAGAAGGATGCCCTTGTCGAGAGCAAATACTCCATCTATGAAAGTTTTAGTGTCATCATGAGATTGTGCGCCCTCAGTAAAGTTCAGTACTATCTCGTGTGATGACTCCCACGGTAGCTGAGGCATCAAATAATCAAAGTTGAGTTTGAAGAAATGGTGGGTGGTATACCCCAAGTTAATGATGGGTGGAAACTCAAGAATTGATATCTCATGGAGTGGAAGGTAATGTTGAGAATTTTTATAATGCCTCTCATTGAACTTTCGATAATAGATATTAGAGTCCTTTTCTAAGCTAAAGAGGATAGAAGGCTAGAAGCTAATACCTAAGTCTAAATTTACTCAGTTTGGCCAATTATCGATTTAAAGATGAGTCATTTTCAACTTTCCATGTACACATTATCCCAGTATTTCTTTGTCCATCAAAAGCTAAGAAAAACCAAAAGCATGTTAGTAAAATTGGTCTCCACTTATATTACAATTATAAAAGTTCCACAGATTGAAATATGGATGCATAGCATTACTAACACATAGACACACATATAACACCCTGAAATAGTCAGACTTGATTTACTAACTCCTTTACATATTAGTTGCAACTTTTGTCATTTCAAGGTGCTATACATTAATTGCAACTTTTCATTTTTTTTCCCTTTTTAGTAAGTTTTTTTAAATAAAATTACCAAAATATCCTTACTTAATATTTCAAAAACACAATTAACTCACTAAATTATAACTCATTAAAATAATAAGCTTACTTAATTAACATAAATATTTTCATCCAATTTAATTCACCCAAAACCAGATTCAATCAACAATCAACATAAATTCAAAAAAATCATTCAACTTCCATCAATCTTCATCCTAGCTCCACGAACTCATCCAACCACCACTTTCAATGTTGTCGCCACCTCTAGCCACCACTTTCAATGGCGCCACCACTGAACACCACCTTTGATTTCGCCACCTCTGATCACCGGCCCTTCCTCCAGTGTTCCTATCTCCCTCTCTCTCTCTCTCTTCAAATCGTTTAGATCTGACGGTTTGGAGGTGGGTGGGCTGAATCGGGTGGTTAGGGTCATATTTTCAGGTTGATTTAGGGCAAATTTCGGGAAGTATGTTTGAATCTAGATGGTATAAAGCTGATTTCGAGTGGGTTAGGGCTAGTATCGGGAGGGTTAAGATCGAGTGGATAGGATTGTTTTGGGCAGTTTACAGCTAATTTCAGGGTGGTTTAAGGGCAAGTAGGAGGGGGGGGGGAGGGTTTAGGGTGGTTGGTTGGTTTCTGGATGGTCTAGGGAGGAGTGAGGGTGGTTTCGAGGTGGTTCATGATGATGGGGTGGGTTTCGAGTTGGTTCAGGGTGACAACAGGTTGGATTTTACAGTGAATGAAGCTGGTTTAAGGGTGGTTTAGACTTTAGGGTAGGGAGTAGTTTTCATGGGTGAGTGAGGCTGGTTTCGGCTAGTTTAAGTTGAGAGATGAATTTCGCGGTGGTTCTTTGAGGTGGTTCATGTGAGTTGGTTTTTTTTAGGGTGGTTCATGATTGAATGATGGTGGGTTCGAGTTGGTTTTGAGTAGGGTAGGTTCGTGGTGGCTATAGGATATAGGTGGTGCTGATGAGAGTGGTGGTGGACTGGTGGTGGTATTTGAATTATTAAACATCCCCACTCTCTCTTACCCTTAATTGTATATCATTAAATTCATTAATTACACATTATTAAATTACACATTATGAAATTACACATTAAATTCAAAGTTGCAACTAACTTGAAACGGAAGTAATAAATGAAAGACATTTTTTACGACAGTTAAACTCCCATTCCTAGAAGGAAAATTGTGCTTCTCAAATTACTCGCAAATTCCAAAAGATTTGGGAAAGAGTATAGAAAAGGTTCAAATCAAACCGCAAAAGAAGGCATAATAGCAAAATTTGAGAATAGTGCCTACATTAATATCAAAAACACTGAAAGAGCTCTCCCAAATTGAAATCAAACCTGAGCCCTGGTAATTATGTTTCACAATACACTAAGAAACAGCTCATATCTATAACTTAAAACATCGCAGCATTACGACAGGGATTACTCCTAATAGAAGAAACCAAGCACTTTGCCTCCAACGTTCTTTCTTCTAGCCTCTTCGTGATCCATGATACCAGCAGATGTAGTCAACACAATGTATCCGAACTGAAATAAACCCATTGTATTAGAAATTATTGTAGCACTCTAAAACAGAGCAAACATTTCACACACAGATATAGGCAATATATCATACCTCAATGAGGATAAAACAATGGAAAAACAATGTACACACCAAAAGACATCAAAAGGATAACACAATGGTCAAAACATGCAAGTATAAAAGAGAAAAAGCACCCGTTTTGAAATTGTTATATGACAGGCCAAAACAAACATGTTACCAAAAAAAGCCTCCTTATTAACATCCGGGTTCCCAAAAACACCCCAGTGATGTGCTTAATAGTTATAACACAGGCAAGCCTCATAAAATAATGCACACTGTTCAAGTAGATTCATTAGCTAACCTGTCTTGAAGGAAGAAGTCTAGCAGTCCATGACTCAATCTCCTTAACACCGACATCAAAACGAGGACTAATGACACCACACTTGTTCAACCTTCCATTCAATTCAACAACAATCTTTCCAGATCTGTGGTCATCAACATATTCGAACTCACCAATGTAACCTGAAAAGAATTCAGAACAGTCACCATTAAACACAGTTGGAAAAATCATAAGCAAGGTTGACCTCACAAGAGAGATTGGAGACAACATACCGTGCTTTTGCATAACAATAAGAAACTTAATGATCACTTTGGATGAGGGCCGGATGAGGACCTGACGTTTTCCTCGCTTCTCAGCATTATACATTGTCTTGAGAGCATCATTAAGCACACTGACCCTCACCATAGCTGCTCAATACAGGCTGCAATAGCAGAGTAAGCATGTTAGCTGTATTATCCAGTTCAATTCAATAAGCAACAGCATCCCACTTGTTACTTATCCTAACTCCATATTATACATTAGTTATCTATCAAACTTAATCTTAACTCCATACTATACATACATAATCGATCAAACTTATCCTAACTCCATACTATACATACGTAATCGATCAAACTATGCTATTCGGAACACCCAATATGTTCTAATTTGCACACACTCATTATTCTGTATTCCCTCATCCCATTTTCATTAATCAAAGAAAGTATCTAATTACTAATCCCATCACACAAATAGTGAACCGAAAGCAATTCACTCTGCTTAATACGCACCCCGATATCATTCTAACCCAATACCACATTTCCATTATACAAGTATAATGAGATAGTATAACCCAACCCCATAAAAGCTAAGCCCTAACTTCTACAAGCAAAATACAACTTACTTCTCACCTAAATTTCAACGTTCAACAAAATTCAAGTTTCCCCAGTTGGTAAAATGAACCCTAATCTACATATCATATTCAAAGATTTAGTATTTATCAAAATCAATTAATCATTTCAACCAATTTATAAGATCTAATAAACATTCGAGATTCTCCTAAACATCACATTATACTTCAAATTACCAAAATAAACTATCAAATTATTAACAATGGGCAAAAAATAATCAATTTGACATGATTTATCTATCTTTTGCAGACCATCAAAATTAAGCATTGCAATAGAAATTACATAAAAATAAATAAATCAGAAGAACAAATTGAATGAACGTACGAGTGTAAGAAAAATGGTACCGTGACGAGAAGAAAGAGATCGTCGAGAGCGCCTCCGAGCAGGAAAAAAGAGGAGAGAGAAAGAGAGTGTGCGCTTGGAGGTATTGTGAGGGTTTTAAGAGTGGCGCATTGAAATGAAGAAACCCTAACTACTGACCTGCATTTGTTTACTCTTTTACAAGCCCATTACTTTTTAGAATTGTAGGCCCATTTGAATAAGACTAATTAGCAATAACATAAGATAGGATAGGATAGGATTAGCAATTGTTAATAACTTAGGTCGAGCCCAGATAAGTATTTATGAGGTCGCCATTAAAATGAACATTTAGTATAACGAAAAAAACCATTTTCTAACTTAACATGTTTTACAATAATTTTGTATATCTCAATAATCAAATGCTTATTTTTATGCAGTATGATGTTCATTCTTATAAAATAAATGTTCTTTTTTTATGTTGTATGATGTTCATTCTTATAAAATAAATGTTCATTTTCTTTTTTATTTTAATACAATTTTTGTGTTTGTATAGTTATATAAAATGTCCATGTTATAATAAAGGATGTTCAATTAACAGTAGCATTAATAATGTTAGACATTAGCATTTTGTTCATTATTAAAAAATCATATTGTTGATTTATTTAATTGGTATTAAATCATATAATTCAGCGAATTGCAAGATATTCATTCAAGAGAATTGAACAAATCAAGGTATTTCACTTGAAACTTAAAAAAATGTTGATGAATCAGTAATAACATTATATGTTCATTTTTATTTACTACTGAAATGATCATTTATATAATATTTGATGTACAATCCTTTTTTTCAGTTTCATATTCTCTTTATTTTACTCTTATATTATAAATGTTCATTTTTATACATTGCAATGTTCAGAAATAAATGTTCATTTTTTTTCTAGTAAATCTTCATTTTTTTTTCTAGTAAATGTCCATTTGTGTTACGCAACTCTAGCCAGAGCTAGCTGGGCGCGACCCTAGCTAAAAATTTGCATAGGATTAGAGGTGATCAAAAATTCAGGTCGGACTTGGCCTTAACATCATATGTCTTGTCCAAATCCGTAAAGAAAGTAGGGGGCTTTTTCGAGTAAGTTTTGGGTTTTTAACTAAAATTACGTTTTTAGGCTTGCCCAAACATGCCCTATTTCCATGGACGGGTTAGTGGGTCGGGCCGGAGTTGATCACCTTTGTTTCGGGGTTTTCTGTGTCCCTCGGGAGAGTTACAACACCAAGACTGGATTCCGGGCGCCTAAACCTGCAAAATAACGGGGACTCCGGTGGGGTGGAGTTCCACCTCCAACGATCAAGTTAGTGTAGGGCTTCGTAGTGACCCTTACTACGCGTAAAGAAACCCCCAAAACCCGCCCCCATAATAAATGCAATTAACAAGCAAAACATAATTTAAAGCATAAGAAAGGATAAAAGAATATACCTTTGACGCGTGCTTCGCTCAACTATGACCTCTTACTTGAACCCCGATAATGCGAGGCTTCCGACAGGATCGTACCCTCGAACCCGACCCGATCGTCCTAAGCCTCGAAGGTTAGTCGAGGCCCGGACAAAAATATAAACTTGGAGTTTTACGAATTCAAGGTTTACTCAATTATAGAGTTGCCTTTTCAATTCCACTCAAGTGTGTCCATTCCCAATACCAAGGCATGTTATTTATAGGGAAATGGACCCTTGATTTCCAATCTCCAACCAATGTGGGAGAGTTGGTAAATTTAACAATTTATTTAATTCTAATTAAATAAATAATTAAATCAATCACAACGCAACAAGTGGCGCAATTAGAGAGAGATAAGTGAGGCTCAAGGCATGGGGAGGGGGGACCATTGCCTTGCTCCCCAAGGCTTTAGTTGGTCCCTACTTCCTCACAAAACCGCCACCAAGCATGCTGGGCTGGCAGCCAGCTAGCACGCCAGCTAGTGCTGCCAGCTAGCACCAGCCAGCAAGCCCGCATCTCCCCAGCCAGCAAGTACGAGCTGTGTTGGGTGATGCTCGTGCTGCTGCTGCGTGCTAGCGCTAGGCGCTGCTAGCCTGGCACTCACGCTCGCATGGCCCAGCATGCGTGCTGCTAGCGAGCCACGCATGCTAGGGCTTGGTGCTTGGCGATGGTGCGAGACACACACGCACACGCACACACGCAAGTGCCCAGCACTGCGATGGGCTGTTCTTGGTGCGTGTGGCCTGCGATGGCGCCTAGGCACCCAAGCACACACGTTTCGGTGCTGCTGTGCCATGCGAAGGCACACACACGCACATGGTGCTGCGATGGGTAGCCTAGTGCGCCTAGCACGCACATGGTGCGTCTAGGCTTACGTTGAGCTAGCCTAGCCTAGCACTTCACATGCGTAGCCTAGCCTAGCATTATATGGCACCTTCATGTTCCTTAACCTCAAAAACCCATTTTCTTCAGATCCTATAGCCCCACACTCCAAAGATGTTCTCCGAACACAACCGCTTGTCCAATTCCCTTTGCTCCATTCTTGGTTATTTCTTGGTTCAAAGCCCTTCAAGCAACCACATATACGCGAATTATTTGAGTTACAAGTCCCGAATTCCCCACACTTACCATAAACATCACATTCAGTTTCTATAGATTTCCATATGGTTGTCCAATTCTTTGTATCTTCATCCCATTCTTTTTGTAGCACTACTCCATCATAAGTCAGAACATAGTGTTCTGTAACTCTTTGGCTAGACGTCGAAAATGATAGGCCAAGTGTGCCTTCTTCATAGTTATCATCAAGACGAAATCCATCAATCAGAGCAAAATAATACATACTTGGTACTCCAATAAATACATGACCATTCCAAGGTCCAGATCGCCAATAAGGACGGTCACCATCCCAAACGAAAATTTCAGAAAGTAAGCGAGGATTAATGCCAGCATTAAAGCGTCCAGTGGATGGATTTGTAGCACTCTTCCAAGAATTAAGCCGCCGTGATGTATTTGTATCCTCGTCAACAATTATTTGCATTCGCAGCATCAAGTTGTCTGTAGGATAGTCAAAACTCTGCCAGATGACATCCCCGCTGACATTTGAAAGTAAAACAAGGTTTCCAGTATCCAAAAGCTGAGCAACTGAATTATTTACCTCATGATTAGCTGCTATCTTTGTTGACCAAAAAGTGTTGTTTTGTCCATTCAAGAGTTGAAGATCACCTTCCTCGGATATACTGATCACCCCAGAAGAGTTATTAAGTGGTCTGTCTCTGTTGGCTATCCAAATGACTTCGAGTACATCAGAATCATTTTTATTGTACCATATACCAGCATAGCGATTAGTCGAATCAGCAGGGCTGAAAAACCCAAATTTGAAAGTGGAATTCCTAGAGACTAATTCATCTGGGTCTCTTAGATATTGAGTAGTGCTAACATTAGCTAGGACTGAACCAAAAAATAAATTAAAGCAAAATAAGAATAGAAGAAACGTGTTCATAGATAAATAAATGCAATCACAATTCGACAAGTGTCAAGGAGAGAGAGAGTATTAGGTGAGGACCATGGAGAGGTGGGGGGACCAATGCCTTGCTCCCCAAGGCTTTCCCAAAGCCTTGATCCCCACTCTCCTCATAAACCGCCTCACCCTAGGCTGCTACCCAGCTAGCGTGCCAGCTGGCTGTGCCAGCTAGCCCAGCATGCTAGCACTAGCCCAGCAGCATTGTTGATGCTTGCTGGTGCGTGTTGGCGCTAGTGCTGGCTGGTGCGTGCTGGCGCTGGCGTTGGTGCGTGCTGGCGCTGGTGCTAGCATCCCACGCATCATCGCTGCTCGCATGGCCCAGCATGCGTGCTGCTAGCGAGCCACGCATGTTGGCCTCTCGCCACGCAACGCACTCCCACACCATGCGCACCACGCATCTCACTCGCGCACAATGCCTAGCATGCGTGCTGCTAGCAAGCCACACATGCTTGGCTTGACGTTGCTTGCTAGCTTGCTAGCCCTTCGCACACACTCTCGCACAGCCTCACGCATCAGCCCCGACACTTTGCACCATGCACGCACATGCCTCGCCCAGGCACCACGCACCACGCAAGCGCCTGTGCCTAGCACTAGCTGTGCTTGGTGCGTGTGGTCCTTCCATGCGCACAACACTATGCTAGGGCTGCTATGGCATCAGGCCATCCTAGGGCACGCATGGTGCGCCTAGTGATGCTGCCTGGGTTGCGATGGCGCCCAGCCATCCTAGGCCACGCATGGTGCGCCTAGTGATGCGTATAGGCCTGCGATGGGTTGCTGGCTTGCGATGGCGCCCAGCATCATGCTAGGGCTACGATAGCGCCTAGGCATGATGCCAGGGCTGTGTTGGCGCGCCTGGTGCTAGCGATAGCCAGCCATGGTGCCTAGCCATCATGCCAGGGCTGCGATAGCTCCTAGGCATGATGCTAGGGCTGCCATGGCGCGCCTAGAGCCTATGATGAGCTAGCCTAGCCTAGCTATGGCTACGCTCATACTTGTCGATTGTGATTTTGCGACGCTCGGTCTCGACGCCCTAGGCTCGATTTCCGACGTCTGTATTCGTAAAACTCTTTCGACTCATTAAATCCTTTCGGATTAATTCGTCGTCTCGGATCGGTTATTTGATTGGGTTCGACCCGAAGGGTTCAGTTAAGATTAAGTTGTAATATCAATTGTACCTTGATATTACTGATCGGAAGCGGCCTCCACCTAGGCATTCCGATCACTTGACCTTACTGAAGAATTAGCTCTGTAATAATTCTGAACCCTCTATCGGATGAATACACTTGTTGGAAGGACACCATTCCTTTCAATCTCCCACTTGTCCTTCCGGACAAGTGTGCATATAGTGTATAGCTCATTTCCTATGTCACTTAATGTTTCTTCGTGAACTATAAGGCAAGATTCTTTGTCATTCTTATTACGTTCAGAAGTGTTTCTCGATGTCCGAGTTCGACTGTCAATAAGCAGATGATTTCTAAAATCCATCTGAGCACGGCCATGCATTTTCACAGTCTCACTCTTCGAGCGGCCTTATAAACAACAAAACATTTTCCTTATTGTTAGTAGGGGGACAATCCCAGTCTTGTATTGTAAGTTCTTCTTACTAAGAGGACATAGACTCCCGAGTGTTCCCGTTATGATCCCCAGTTACGGCAGACGTTTGGAAACATCAAAGAGCCTAGTACTCAAACAAGAAAACTTCACAGTACTCATGGTCGGAGGAAATAAGTTCCGATAGTCACAATGAGAAATATACTTATGACAAAATTTTAAATTTTCTTAAAGTACTTTAATAGGTCTTATCCAGTACAGTTCCAAACTGTACCTGTGCAAATGATTTATGACCGTCACGTCCTCGCAGCACAAGAAACGGTGCTGTAAATCATACTACACACTAATCTATGGCGGTCATCAATCGTCCATTTGTTAGATGACCTCGATTAGGGATACTTTTCGATTTAATATTCAATGTTCACTTAATAGGTGTTTCTTTATCCAAGACATGATCTTGATACCCTGTTTTGAATATTTCCGTAAATCGAATGGACTCATTATTTAATTCTAAACCACAATTAAATTGTAATGGAGTGAATGATAATTTTTGCACAAAAATTTATTACTCCATTAATGAATGGTTTCAATACAGTGTCTTACATTAAATATCCTATTTAATTAAAACACATGTACAAGGAATTTCAAAGCCAGTCTCTAACATGCCTGATTCCCATTGCCTCAATGTGCTTGTTGTGTTTCACTTGAGGCAAAGGTTTTGTCAAAGGATCGGCTACATTATCATCCGTGCCGATCTTACAAATTCTGATTTCACCTTCGGATTTCCATTCCCTTATCATGTGAAATCGCCTTTGCACGTGTTTGACCTTCTGGTGTTCTCTCGGCTCCCTGGCCTGAGAGATAGCTCCATTATTATCACAATAGAGGTCTATCGGTCCCTTGATTGAGGGTACAACACCAAGTTTTCTAATGAACTTGCGAATCCAAACAGCTTCCTTGGCAGCTTCCGAAGCGGCCAAGTACTCAGCTTCAGTTGTAGAGTCTGCAGTGGTGCTCTGCTTGGCACTCTTCCAACTAAACGCTCCTCCATTCAGACAAAATATATACCCCGACTATGACTTGAAGTCGTCTCTGTCAGTCTGGAAGCTAGCGTTGGTGTAACCTTCAACAACCAGTTCTTTGTGGCCTCCATATACCAGGAATTTATCCTTGTTCCTTTTCAGGTACTTAAGGATGTTCTTGGCCGCAGTCCAATGCGCCTCTCCTGTGACTTGAAGTCGTCTCTGTCAGTCTGGAAGCTAGCGTCGGTGTAACCTTCAACAACCAGTTCTTTGTGGCCTCCATATACCAGGAATTTATTCGTGTTCCTTTTCAGGTACTTAAGGATGTTCTTGGCCGCAGTCCAATGCGCCTCTCCTGGGTTCAATTGGTATCGACTCGTTGCACTCAGGGAATACGATACATCTGGCCTTGTACATATCATGGCATACATGATCGATCCGATTAGCGAAGCATATGGAATCTGATTCATTCTTTCTCACTCAACAGGTGTCTGCGGACACTGTTTCTTGCTGAGAGTTATGCCATGGGACATGGGTAAATGCCCTCTTTTGGCATTTTCCATGTTGAATCGAGCTAGTATTTTATCAATGTAAGTACTCTGGCTTAATCCAATCATCCTCTTAGATCTATCCCTATAGATCTTGATGCCCAATATGTACTATGCTTCTCCTAAGTCCTTCATTGAAAAGCACTTTCCCAACCAGCCCTTTACGAACTCCAATAATTTTGTGCTGTTTCCAATGAGCAGTATGTCATCGACATACAGGACTAGGAATGCAATATCACTCCCACTGACCTTCTTGTATACACAAGACTCATCTGGATTCTTGATAAAACCAAACTTGCTAATGGCTTCATCAAATCGCAGATTCCAACTTCTGCTGGCTTGCTTCAGTCTATAAATGGACTTTTTGAGCTTGCAAACCTTTCCAGCGTTGCTTGGATCGACAAAACCCTCTGGCTGTGTCATATACACAGTTTCTTCCAAAATCCCATTAAGGATGGCGGTTTTGACATCCATTTGCCATATTTCATAATCGTAATATGCAGCAATCGCTAGGATGATCCGGACGGAGTTTAGCATTGTAACTAGTGAAAAAGTTTCGTCATAGTCAATCCCGTGGACTTGTCTATAACCTTTTGCCACCAGTCTAGCTTTGTATATCGATACATTTCCATCCTTGTCTGTCTTCACTTTGAAGATCCATTTGCAACCAATGGGTGTATAACCCTCGGGCAAATTCACCAAGTCCCAGACTTGATTTTCAGACATGGAGTCCATCTCGGATTTCATGGCCTCTTGCCATTTTGCAGAGTCGGGGCTCGTCATAGCTTGCTTGTATGTCGCCGGCTCATCACCATCCATGACTAGGATGTCCTGATCATCAATTAAGACGATACCGAGGTATCTGTCTGGTTGAGATCTTTGCCGTTGCGACCTACATAGGGTAATCGGTTGAGCATTTACATTATCTGTTTGACTCTGACCAATCTTCTTAGATGCTTCCAAAGTATCTAGATTGTCAGTTTTGTCAGGTTGACATAGTTGCTCGTCCTCTCGAACTTCGTCGAGTTCGATTTTCCTCCCACTTGTCATTTCGGAAAGGTGATCCTTCTCCAAAAAGACACCATCACGAGTAACAAACACTTTGTTCTCGGATTTATTGTAGAAGTAATACCCTTTGGTTTCTTTTGGATATCGCACAAAGAAACACTTATCCGATTTGGGGTGATGTTTGTCCGAAATTAATCGCTTGACATATGCTTCGCATCCCCAAATCTTGAGAAAAGACAACCTAAGAGGTTTCTTAGTCCATAATTCATATGGAGTCTTTTCAACAGCTTTTGATGGAGCTCTATTCTGTGTTAGTGCTGCTGTTTGTAGCACATGTCCCCAGGACGAGATAGGGAGTTCACTAAGACCCATCATTGACCGAACCATGTCTAACAAGGTTCGATTTCTCCGTTCGGACACTCCGTTCCATTGAGGAGTTTCGGGAGGTGTCAATTATGAAAGAATGCCATGTTCTTTCAAGTGATCGCCGAATTCATGGCTCAAATATTTGCCACCTCGATTCGATCGAAGTCCTTTAGTTTTCTTGCCAAGTTGATTTTCAACTTCTTTCTGAAATTCTTTGAATTTCTCAAAGGATTCAGATTTATTCGACATTAAGTAGATATAGCCATATCTACTATAATTGTCGATGAAAGTGATGAAATATCGGTAACCTTGCCTTGCGGGTGTGCTCATAGGTCCACATACATCCGTGTGTATTAGACCTAATAAGTCACTTTCCCTTTCTCCCGACTTGGAGAATGGCTGTTTTATCATCTTGCCTAATAAGCATCCTTC